ACCATAGCATGGTACTCAGTTTCTGTTCTGCTGCCATAATGCTTTTGAAATGTAGAAAACATTCACTTCATAAGGACAAGCAGGCCTTTTAGGCCTTGTTGCTTAGATGGTCAAAACAACAAAACAAATTTAAATGCTAGTGAAAACACTAAAAATGTTTTTGGGGAGCTGGAGTGATGTTGAAACGCCAAAATAAGGAGGATTACAAGAGAGGAGAGGCCAAAGGGACCATCATCTTAGAGCCCACAGCTCATCCTGGTGGTGGACTTGGCTAACTGCAGATTAGCGTCATTTAGAAGTGCATGAACGAGCTGATGTGGTTAAAAAACAAGACAAACAACTTTTACAGTTGGTAACATACTGAAAATGTGTTTTAGGTGCTGTAGTGATGTTTAGTCCCAAGAATCAGGAGGAATAAAGGACAGCAGGGACAAACATCCATGAACAGCTCCTCCTGGTGGTGGATTTGGCTAACTGCAGATCAGCATAATTTAGAGATGAAAAAACAATTATAAAAATAATTCTACTGTAAGTAAAAAGAGTAAAAATTGTGTTTTAAGATCTGGATTTTTACCCGCCAGAATCAGGAGGAAAAAAGGAGAGGAGAGGCAGGAGGGACCAACATCCAAGAGCCCACAGCTCCTCCCAGTGGTGGATTCGGCTAACTGCAGACGAGAAGATCATAATTAAGATTTAATTCCAAACATATCTATAGACCACAGACCTATATACATGGACCCCACACTGAGGGAATCGTATGTCTCCGCCATCTTGGACGTGGCAAAGTGGAGAATCAGTAAATCTCAGGGTTTGTTGTTGGCCAACTTCTCCAAAGGCTGTCCTTTGATGTATGCCATGGTAGTTTGGTATCTGTTGCTGTACCTCCATAATTTCTAAGATATATTAGTGTGTGTGTGTGTGAGATGCATTAACTTAAAGCACATTGTGGAAACACGCTTTATGAAGTTCAGTCCGTTTTCTTTCATAAGTTTACGGGTAGTTCTGTGACGTGCTGATGATCGCTGCAACGGGCCAACCTGCTGAATTTGGAGTGTATCTATATATGTCTATGGTATGCTGAACTGACAGAACACCGGCTCCTACAGCCCCTCATCGGGCTTCGGAGGCACAGTCGATCCACCTTTGTCAATAACGGAGCGCCTATGCATGTAGCGTTTGAGGAGCTGTGCGGTGCTGAAAGCCGCAGCTCAGCGGCACTGCAACCAGACCCCGCGTGTGGATTTCCACGTCTAGAGCTCAGTCCCAGCCAGGTAGACTCAACCAGACGGATTTGACTTATTGGACTTTTCCAAGTCAATAGGATGTGTCTGGTTCTTTTGAAGAAAACGAAGCACCATATCTTTTTATGTTCTTCAATATCGAACATGTGAGCTGCAAAGCAAAATCACAAGGTCAAAAAACTGAAATGCATAGCTGTTAACTGATGATTCAAACAGCAAATGAGGCGCCGGGAGAAGAAATTAAGAATTTGGATGGTTTATTTGAATTTTTCTGCTTTTTTATGGGACAGCGTGCAGGTCATTCCCTGAAATGCAACATAAAAAGAAAGTAGAGCCAATAAAACAGATGATGTTGTGAATCTCTGCTCTGAGCACCTTTCTCCTCCATCTTTGAACCCTCTCTAAGCAGCTGTGTATCCTTTCTGTAGGGAGTCTCCAGGAGCAGCTTTAGGCTTCTTGAAGGCCTTTTCTCAGGATGTTGCTGCCTTTTGGGGATGATCCATCCCTCCAACAGAGCTGGTGTTCAGTCCACTACTGGTTCCTCTGGCAGAGCTCAGAATTTCCTCCCTGTTTCCTTCCTCCAGAATGGCTTCTAGAGAGCCCCCCTTCATGGAGAGCATTTCTGATGAGGCCCCCAGGAGATGATCAGCTGGAGGTCCAGATGCAGCTCTCAGCTCCTGTTCAGCTCTCTGCTGGACCTGTTCCTCTTTCTGAAGGACATCACTTTCAGATCCTCTTCATCTGTTGGATTAGAGAGTTTTTTTAGTTCCAACTCTTCTTCTGCCCTCCACTTGTCCAGTTTTAAGGACTCACTGCTCACCAGGCTGAGATCTGCCCGGTTTTCAGCCAGCAGCTCTTTGGGAATCCTCAGAAATCCTGTTTCCTGCCTGTCAAACTGTTTTCATTGGCCTTTTTCCTCATCAGCTAAAGAAATGGAACAAATAATGTGCCTTTGTTAAGTGTGGACACAAACCAGCTCAGCAAACTAAAGGAAGAAAAAAGAAAATAGCACATTTTCTGAGAAGGGTCAGATTCAAGGCTTGAAATGAGTCGAAACGCAGCCACCACCAAACTGAAAAATATCAGAATCCAGTCTGGCTACAGCAAAATGCAAAGAAATGAGCAACAGCATGATCAGACATGCCTTCTTATTCAGTAAATGATCCTTTTACGACTCAGAGGCTGCATTTTTATGACTGGCATGACTTAAAGCTACAATGTTCTTTGGATCATTGATCCCAGAAAATAAGAATGAATGAATGAATAAGAATGAGAAAATAAGACACATTTTGGAACAGAATATAAAACTGTAATCCAGTTCATCTTGTTGTTAAAACCCCAACAAAAATGCAGTGGATGCCAATGAGCAGCCTCTTTTCTTGTCTCTCTGTGCACGCCCGGTGGGGCAGAGGTTCCACATCCCTGCTGAGGGAAGACAGGCATGACACCATCTGGTGTGAAATTGGTCAGACTGCTCTGACTAGTTCAACTGGTCAAACCTGTTAAATTGGTTCAACTGGTCAAGCCAGTTGAGGAGGGTGCACATCATCAAACAGATTCTGAAAAAGTCAGATCCTTACTTAGCTCTTCTAAGTTTCAGAGCTGCCCCGTTTGATTGTGGTTTATCCCCAGCAGAACTGATAATGTACCGCAAACTACACACAACCCAGACAAAGTTGGAGAACATGAAATGGAAACAACGTTATGACAAGTCGAGGAAACCTCTCAGTCCACCCACCAAGGATGACGTGGTACGAACCCAGGATCGAGATCCGTGGAACAGGGAAGCGACTGTACTCCAGGAGGTCGGACCGAGATCCTACGAAGTGAAGACTGAGGAAGGACACGTGCTCAGAAGGAACCGCAACAGCCTTCTGAAAACAAAAGAGACTTTCACAGAGACTGAGATTGATGCTGATGCATTTAGTGCAAGCACAGCATCAAATGGACATTTACAGGGGGACACAAGCAATGTTCAGTCAGAATTACCTCTCCTGAGAAGATATGGGCACCAGACAAAAAGACCTGAGAGACTGGACTTTTAAGAGTATGGACTGAATATTGGTTCACTGTTAAATAAAATAAAGAAATAAAGGTTGTTCAAAACTGTTTATATGTTAGATCGAGTAAGTAAGTAAAGTAAGTATCAGTGCATTATTAGATTTACAGAAGGGGGGATGTGCTGATAAGTCAAGATGCATTCAATGACAGTTCCTGATATGGCCACTAGATGGACCTATTGAGTTTACAAATACAAGGTCAACTACATGAGTAAGTCAGTAGAACTAGGTACGTTGAACATGTAAGACTATATGATTAGGCTCGTTCAATAATGTTGAGCACAATCTCATTGTGGATTCTACGACATTTTATGATAGAGTTCATAAACACAGTTTTGTGTCCTTAATCCAATCAAATCAAATGTTCGACGTGTTTTCTTCATGAACTGGTTGTGTGATGGATTCTTGTTACATGTTGGTGTTTGTCCAAAGCAGAACTCACCTGGACGCTCCTACCTGAGGAGGTTTGCTCCTCTATGATTAGTAATTTGAGAACGAGTCTTCATAGGTTCCTGCTGATGGCCAATTTTCTCCCCCAAAACAGAAAAATTTAACCAATTCAAGATAAAAAGAAAAAAGAATTATTGTAGAATTTTGTATGATATAGAAAATTAGAGTTTTCGTTGCATAATTATCTGATATCATCTGAATATGATATGAATAACGAAAATATTATTATGAGAATGGGTTCTTCATCAAATAAATCCCTTTTTCTGAAGAAATCAAATTTGGGAAAGGGAATATTGGCCTTGAAAAAATATTTTTTTCAGGGCCAATATCTGATTTTGTTATATTCAGTGGGTTTGGCTGAAATGGGTCAGGGAGACTGGGCCGACTCAGGCCGTGGCCCCCACTGCAAGAATTAACACAAAATGACAAAAATATGGAGGAAAAGTCCAGAAGGAGGGACAAAAATATCACAAAATGAAAATAAAGCACTAATATGCACAAAAAACACAGGAAAAAACAGAAACTGACTCAAAACTGTAAGAATTAACACTAAATTGTCATGACCGAGTGACCGACTCTGGTGCGGGCACAAATTACTATCCAGACTGAGTGAAGACAATAGCTTTTAATTTCACTCGGTGCGAGACATGCCTCCTGATTGCAGTAATTGGAAACAGCTGGATTTGTCTTTCCAAAACCCACCCTGGGAAGGAGAAAGGTAGGGAGGCACCCAGGGTTAATGCAGGCCACCCAGTGGCCCCAATAAAATTATGAAAATGTGGGGAAAAAATGACAATGACAAAAGTTGACACTTTGAAAGCTACAGGCAAAGACCAGAATCTCACTCAAGACTACAAAAAGTAACACAAAATGACAAAATGTGGATAAATAGTCAAGAAACAGGGGAGAAACTGATTTAAAAAAACCTCTGACATGAGAAACGTGCGATTAAAAACTCCCTCCTTTATGGCGCCGTTTGGCTTTCGTTTCTCGCACAGTGCGCACTGCGCGCACGTCCAGCCGCGTCCTATAAACTCATAAAGACACAGATTACAAAGTGACACATTTTTCCTGCTGCCCGCCACCCGTCTCGTCTGTTTTATGACGCTTATCTTGTTTACAGAGACACAGCCACGCACCCATATTTTGCCTCTGAGGGTGTGTCGGGGGCTGACGTTACGTAACCTTTGGCCCTCTTAAGGATGTGGCCGCTCACATCTGGGCACACTGGACGCACGACGGACTCAAGATGCGCTGCCCACGCACAGACTGCCTGTCCGAGCCTCTGTCCGGGCTATTCCAGAGGCTGGGCTCCACAGTGGGCTCCTGCCCTTTTTACTTCTTTGTCATCCCTCTGGTCGTCTCGGCAGCGCTCGGTGGAGGCTTCGTCTTCATCCGGGACCGGGAAGACAACGACCTGGAGCGCCAGTTCACCCCGAAAAATGGACCCTCGAAGGTGACCAGAGCCTTTTTGAGGGAGAACTTTCCCTACAACGACTCCATGTTTTCTGCCGAGAGGCTGCTGGACAAGGGCAACTTCGCGTCCCTCATCTTGGTGTCGACCTCCGACGCCAGCGTGCTGGACAGCCCGGCCTTTGACGACATCGTCCGGCTGGACAACCAGATCCGCAACATCACGGTGGACGGCGTGGGGTTCCGCGAGCTGTGCGCCAAAGCCAACGGGGAGTGCGTCCCGAACGCCGTCCTGGACATCGTGCGCTCCGCCAAAGCGGGGCGCGCCAACATCACCTACCCGCAGCACGCGCACGCGTCCGGGACGGAGTTTTTGGGCTTCGCGCTCGGCGGAGTCGTGACAGAGGCCGACGGCACCGTCAGGAGCGCAAGGGCCGTGAGGCTGTGGTACTACCTGGAGGAGCAGGAGAGCACCGCGGAGGCCACCGTCAGCTGGCTGAGGGCCTTCAAAGCACAGCTGTCTGGGAAGGTGGACACCAAAAACATAGATGTATGTATCCCACTCATCATCTGAACGTGCGCACATGTGTCCTCACACCCAGGGGGCTTTTCAAATACACTGATTTACCACAAAAATTAAATAAAACAATGAAGATCATCAATATTTCCGGTTAAATTGTCAGATTATTGGTGATTTTAACTCCATTACGTAGAATCTCTTCAGCCCAAATTATGTTTTCAACTGTAAAATAGAATTATTTTTGCTATTAATTTATAATTATTTCTGATTAAGTTGATCGATTTTTATTATTTTGTGTCATTCCTGAACAGAAAAGAGAGGTTTAGAAGTTCAATGTTGGCTAAAATCTGGAGAGAATAACAGGAGAGTTGGGTTTAAAATCCTGTTAAACTGAAAAGAAAACTGAAAAACGTTCCAAAGGCGCATAAAACCATGAACAGACATAAAATGTCCATAAAAACAGAAAAGAACGATCATATAGTCAAAAAGACACATAAGGAAACCAAGAAGTGTCAGAAGATTAGTACATAAGAGGCAAAGAAAGACATTAAATTAACCCAAAACACACAAATTAAGCCAAAAAGCATTTCATATGACACAAAAAATAAAAATGACTCCATTCTTCACAAAAACACATCAAATCATCATAAAAAGACACAAAACAACCATGTACAAAAAATGACTGCAGGGATACCAAATTATTTTTAAAAAAAACCCTAAAAAGAACCACAAAAACTTACTAATTAACTAAATGAACACTTGTTAGACAAAACATTCCTCATAAAAGACACAAAAGATTCACAAAAGGACCATCTGAAAAATATAAAAATGACCCACAAAAAGACTAAATTAAACGAGGAAATTTCAAAATGAGTACAAAAAGCTCTGAGAATTGATTTCTGGATTTAGCCAGACTTGTCTAAAACCCGTCTCACAAATCAACTTAAATCAAAACATGATTATTGTCCTCCTAATGCAAAAAAATTCATTAATTAGAGCAGTAATTACACACCGACTATAAATATATATATATACAGTAGATAGATAGAT